GTGGCATCAATGTTTTCTGCCATCCGTGCAGCATTTAGCCCTGAAGAGCTGCGAAAGGCGGCGAAAGCTAGGCTGAAAAGACCCCCTGGCTTGAGCGCTTTTTACTTAAGTTACAGTACGTTGACCCGGCATCAACAAAGTTTCGTGATCCTTTGTTAGCCGGCACCTTCTTCTCGAAACATTCCCTTCTTTTTGGAGAGCGCTTATTTTTACATGCTCCTCCTGTTGTCTCCTCTGGAGAAAGTTTGCTTTGCAAGTCTGACTTGTCATGACAGGGTGTTAAGAACGGAACAGCCTTGGAACGTCCAGAAACTACATATATTTTTTTCACTTTGCCACAGTGAAGGCCTCCCAACATTAAAGATCCAAAATTGAAAGATGATTTGGCAAAGGAACGGCATACTAGCCATGTCCCACACAATGGCGCCTTTACAGAACCACCTTGAGAAGCAACGTACTGTCAATTCGTAGAACCCATGGAAAAACACGAGTTCTTCCTGAAAAACACGATGTTTTCAAACATCCTGATCAACAGCGTTTCCACCAAGTCAATTGGGAAGCTCACCGGAATGCACACGGGGCGCTCAAGCAGCCTTTTTTTCAATCTCTTATGTAACCCTCCTCACGGTAGTGCTTGAAACATGCCATGAGTGTCCTTTGCAGCACCCTCTTCACCACCTGTGACGGATGCGTCCGTCTGGACAAGCGGCTGCAGCGACCAACCCAATCCTCATGGATCTGGACAGAGTGGTTCAACGGTGAAAGAACGGGTTTGCAATGAGCTGGCCAAGCATGTCCCAAAATATGTGGTCCATTGAATGTACTTTTGGAATCAGATTGAACATGTTGACCTTCTGCAAATGGCATGTGAGCGCCAAATCGCGATAACAGTCCAAAAAGGAGATGCCGTGCCGCCGTGCCCAGCGATTTCAAAGGCCTCCGGCCGTCCAATCCAGACATCTCTGGAGTATAGCATCCCAAGGCAGGTGCTAATGTGAAAGTTTGCTTTTCTGCACTTCACCAACAACTCGCTGCCGGAGATGTCCACCCTGTTGCAAAGCCATTCAAAGAAATCACTCAGGGTCCGCGTTGTGTGCCCCTTTGACCAAATCCCGTTTGGGTAGCTGGACTTGTCCGGCCAGCCGAGACTCCCACGAGTAGGTTGCGACACGTATGGCGTCACGTGACTTTCTGCAGTGTATTCATGGAACATTTCTAACAGTTCCATGCATCTCTCGTTGACCTGGCTCGCAGACATGAGTTCCGTCGCTAGGCACAAACAACTTGCAACACATGTTTTTCCAACTCCAAGATGGAAGCTGTGGAAGAGATCGATGTGTAAAAGGCAGCCTGTTCTGAAACGTGTGCTGCAGCAACCCGATTGAGGGGAAGGGCTCCCCCAAAATGCATCCTCCCGAAAAATCGTGGGCCACCAAGCCGGAGTAGTAAGCTGGAAGTTCTCCCACCCCACTTGGTCCTGGCCTGCTTGGCACATGTGACATCTGCCGCGTGCGACTCCCTGCTCTGCACGCGGGCGCTTCTCGCAGTTGGCATAGCTTCTCGTAAGGTGACCAGCTTTGGCCAACCACTGCCAATCCCCCACACAATGCAAGGTGCACATTCTTTTTTTTGTGTTCCCTTCTTTGTCAGACACGCCAACCATCAGCATCTCCTCAATGTCGCTGGCGATCCGCTCCAAGATGCAGTCCAAAGCTTGTTGATCAACATCTTCGGGAGGCATGCTGTCAAAAATCGATGACAGAATGGCGACCCAGTGTAGTTGAGCTTCATATCATGGTACTTCTTTCTTCGGCATGCATTGGACTCGTTTGTACCGTGGCCAAGGTATCCGTTGTATGAGGCTATAAGAAACCCCTGTTTCTTGTAGCCTCTTCCCTCATCTCCGTGAATCATGAGAGGCGCAAGGCGGTTCAACTGAACCTTTCCAGTGTCAACCAGATTCCACAGACTGTGAGATGGCTTTGCCTGCCGATACCTTTGCCAGAACAAACTTAAAATGGCTTGCTCCCTCTCAGGATGCAGTTTATTTCTTCAATCCAGCGAGTATATGCCACAAGTGTGAGTCTACCAGCCATTGAGCCCAGGACTTCAAGGAAATCATGTAAATGTTTCCGGGATACAACGTCCCTGGTGGCTTCTCTACAAACGTCAGCTCAATTGGCAACGTCAACTCATATCGGTTGACAAGATTCTGCACATCACGCTCAGAGCTTCCTTCAAGGCACTTGGATAGGGCATTCAAGCCAGACCTTTCTGCCAAACTCTCGCCAAAGTCCTCGATCACACCTTTGGCAGAGGCGCAAACATGAAAATGCACAACTCTAAACAAAAGATAGAGAGCCGGAACTTGTGAGAGACAAGAAACGGAGTCAACTTAAAAAAGGAATGCGTCCCTGTTTGGGCCACTTGCATCAGGCCTTTATATAATTTGTAACGAAAACTGGCCTTTAGGATTATTTGGAAAGGTGCACTCTCCTATGAGCGCATTAGTCTGTAGCATGCGCACTGCACAAAGTGGAAAGAAGATACATACACACAGCACGGACCACACAAATGCTTTCTTGATTGCCCCTGCAGCCTTCAATGGTAGTGGAGGCAAACCTGTCAAAAGCCTTTGGTTTGAATATAGGCAACATCACAAGTGCCCTGCCAAGGGTAACCCACCCAATAGCAAGAACAACAGCACTGCCAAAACCTCAATTCACTGTACGTATGCAGAGGCATGTTTTAGAGTTTGATTAGGTTGGGAGGGTCGTCCATAGCCCATGGACAAGCAGCGCTGCTTCTCAGAGGCATGGTGTGGGAAGTTTTCTACCGTGCACATGGCAGCCTTCCAAAGATATAAGGTATTTAACATTTTGAGACCTGTAAACTGCTCAGCTGCATTCCTGTTCTTTCTGACGACACAATATCAGAGTTGTTCCTCAGACTTGGGGTCAAGATGAGGGCTCATATGGTTTGTTAGGAAGGGATTAAAAGGAAGCATCGTTTTTGCCGGCAGAGTGCGGCAACAGAGAAAGCACGTGGTCAATGCTGCTTGTTATGAATGACTTGGGTCAAAGGGTGTTGTCGGGCGGTCTCTTGAGGCCGCGGCTCCTTCGGCGATGCAAGCGACGAATCGCTGCAGAGTCTGTCCGGGACCTAGCGCGATACAAAGAGTGAACATCAGCGATCAGGAATCACCTCACGTGCAGTGTGCAGCAAATACACGGCAAAGCTCCATCACTCCGAGTCAGGCGGTTTATCATGCTTTTCTCAGCGCTCATTGTTGAGCATCGTGTTTCATCGCTATCAGCTATGACCCGCACAAGAACGTGTCGAGGTTCCAATCCATCAAAAGGACTGGCTTAAACACATTTTGCGCACAAATTTGCATTCTTCTACACTCACCAGCAGGGTCTATGGCCTGTAGGGGTGACGCCACGTACAGGCTTCCCGCATAGAAACCCCAAAAGGCAATCTACAAAGATTGCAAGATCTCTTGGCAGACTTACTTACGACTTTTCTTGTGTTCTTTCTTGCTTTCTTTCTCAGCTTTCTCATGCTTCTGTTTTTTTGTTTTTGGGCTTCTCAGCTTCCTGGTCATCCAGGGTGTCCTTGATCATGTGCTTCCTTGCGTTCCTGCCAGTAAGGTGGAAACAATAAATCAAGCAGAATGGGCTTGGCATTGAGTCAAAGAGTATACATAGATCAGACGGACCAGAGAGTCACGAAGCACAACTCGTTTCATGAGGCCATGACCGGATCTTCATCTCGGCCGCGCAGACCTTGGCACACCTCAGCCGGTGGGGGTTCTCAGCACAGTATGCGGAGCATTTTAGAAGTTGGGGCTTGCGCGCAATGGTGGCATCAGACATCGCCTTTGTGGCCTTTGCAACGAACCTGGGGCAAGAGGAAAACGCTTCGTGTATGGTCCCCTTTATTGCGAACTGGCATGTGTCACATATATCTAATATGGAAGGGCAATAGCCGTGTGGATGTGAGCTGTGCAATTTGCTGAGAAGTCTCACAGCCGTAGATTCATCATTTTGATAGTGCTGCTTTAAGTCTTTGATGAGAGATCTGATCTTCCCACATTTCTGAAGGAGAGATTCCAGGTAGCGGTTCAGTGTGATGCGGGTCTGCCAAAGGTTTAAAGGATCGAGATCTAGAATGGGAGATGTTTAGATCGGCATGGGATTACCAAATTTGACACTTGGCTCAGCCCCCTCCTTGAAGAAGGTAGCGCCCTCTTCACGTAGATGGTTCCTTATGTCCTCTTCACGTTCCCATTCTTTGGTCAAGCCTGAAATAGGAAGCTTGTCCTTTCTCCCATCAGACCCCAAGCTCTCAGCACTGCCAGCCATGAATGAAGAGCACGGTGCGTCAAGGTCACCCAAAGGGACCACTCAGAGCCAAAATCTTAGATATCTTGAAGAATTATAATGTGTGGGAAATGCCCTCGATTCAATCCAAATACGAGGAACCCTTCGACTGAGTGAATCTCTCACAGCAATGGCCCACATACCCCCTGCCGTGCAGGAGCACCGGGCCTTCACGGCACGCTTCGCATTGGAAGAAAGAGCTGCATCGGGAGCAGCAGATTGGCATGGCGTGGGATGCATCTAAGAATCTAATATATATGTTGATGCATTCTACATACATGCCTCTGAAATCTAAAAACGGCACGTCAAGACACCGATCCCGTTGAGCCTGCACGGCTCGTGCCGCTGTCCTGGCATGTCCTGGCCACCAAGTTCCTGAAAGACATAGGCAAGGAACCATGAATATAGTGGTTTTCTTGAAAACACGAGGTTTTTCCAAGAAACTCGATGTATTCCCAGGATTTGGCCAAAAGATCATGTTTCCATAAAGGATCTACAAATTTATAGGCTCTTCTTAACTCTCTAGGCAGTGGTGTTCATCCAAAATGTGACGGGTGAGTTGGGGTGATCCTTCACGGCAGTGAGCCATTTCGGGGCTTCGCAGCTCGCAGCTTGATGTCGCTGCTCGGGACCCTTCGCCCACTCATTTGTGCAATTGTGGTGCGCTTAGCCAGTCTTGGAGCATCCAAATGTTTTTGTACTTACTAGTTTACTAGTAACAAGGGCATCGCCTACTAGTAACAAGAAGCTACTAGGGGCTCCTGGCCTTACTACCAGGAGCAAGAAGCTACTAGTAACAAGGGCATCGCTACTAGCAACATGTCATTTTTTGTTTCGTTTTGGCCTCAGATCCTCGCGTCGTGAAACGACATTTGGTTCATTCGCACCAAACATGCTTTGGCGGAGGAAAGGTATGAACATATTGATTCAAAAAGGGACATGTTTACAGAACTTATTCAATTTTTAGTCAAAAACACCCTGCATCACAGAAAAAACGACGACATGCCTTGCACTCAACGGTTTTAGCCGATTTTCAGCCGTGAACTTGGTACCTCTTGGTACCTGTCTCCCGTTTCGGCCTAGGCCGTTTCGGTGTGCTGCGGCGCAGCTCCCAAGAACCGGCAGGGGAAGTTTGAGGCTGAGACGTTGGAGGCTGAAGTCTCCCAGGATGGTCACATCGCGATGCACAACTCGTTGAAACCTTCCTTCAAGGCGGGGGGTTCCTTCCGCAGCGGGCGCCGGCTCCAGCGGGACGTTCATCTCGCGTTGGGGGCTAGATGGCAGACAGTGACAGTGGTTCAGTGCTTCAGGTGAAGCAAGTTGTTTCATGCGAAGCACCTGGGCGGTTTTTGCAAAGGTGTCGTTTTGGTTGGTTACATAACAGACCAATCACACACTCTCAGAACGAGTCTCCGTGCCCGGCCCCTTGTCGTCGTGGACTGGTGAGGATTTGTTCGATGGACAGATGAGTGGACTTACTGCTTTGATTAGTAGTAACAAGTGCCACGCTACTAGTAACAAGTGCCTTACTAGTAGTAACAAGTGCCTTTCTAGTAGTAACAAGAAGCTAGTAGAAACAAGATCTTCCCCTGTCGGCAACCGCTCCGTGGACTAGGCGTGGCACTTGTTACCCTGAACCATGTGGAGAGTTTAGCATCCCTCGCCCGATGCTGGGACCCTTTTTATGGCCCAGAATGGCCCATGCATGTACCATGCATGTTATTTCACTTCCTCATGGCTTGGAACCAGCTCTCGTAGCGGCGACTGGAGCGGAAGAGTTGTGAAGCAAACAAACGACTCTCGAGAGCCGTGTCGCTGCGAACTCTTTGGACCTGGTCCAGGGAGAACTCTTTGGATTTCTCCACGCCCAAACGTTTGAAGAACACGTTACTGGTAGTCATGCCCTTGTTATTAGCGATGCCCTGGTGACTAGTAGCTTTCAAGAGAACTCCATGCTGTTCGTTTCGATCTTTTTTCAGTGAGCTCCTTCACGCGGCTTCGTGGGTGCCTCCTGGGCACGAACGAACACTCGTGCCCAAACTGAACTGCAGCAGCTTCCTTCCTGCACTGACCTGTTGCTTTGGTGCTCCGGGCCGGAGGATCCAGACACCGAATTCATTGAGCTGGAGGAGGAGGAGGAGGAGCAGGAGCAGGAGGAGGAGGAGGGGGAGGATGAGAAACATGATGAGGACGCCGAGCAGGCGAGCTTGGAGTTCGATCGTTTTGCGGTGGTTTTGAGTCATGGTGGAGCGTTTGCGGGCGTTTTTTTCTTTGCAGTCCAAGTCCGACAAACTGATTGGGTGTGCTTGTTGCTGTGCAAAGAGTCCGATATGATCTTCTGACTGACACATTTCTTTGGATTTCAGGTTTTGGTTCAGGCCTCTATGTCTTGGTCTTAACCTCGCTCTGGGCAGGAGTCAGCGGGATGTCGTCGGCGAGATTGTCGTCGGCGTTTTACTTGTCATAGGAGGAGCTGTCGCGATGGCGAGCGGATTCTGGGAGGGTGGAGGGTCCAGTGAAGTCAGTGAGAACTTCGAGAATGAGTTTGAAGTTTTCCTTGTTCTTTCCTTTTGGTGGTGTCAGCTCAGGTGCAGAGGTTGCTGGACAGGCTGACAGGCTTTTCCCCGCACAAAACCGGTGAAGCCACCACACCAGATCTGCCCACACCAGCAGCATGCGTTGCTGAAGCACAGCGCTGTTCTCTCTCTCTCTCTTGTAAAATTCAGCAGCTGTTTGTTTGTCGTTTGTTTGTGCACGTCTCTGTATTGTTTTCCTCTGGCAACAGTCCTTAGGCTCAAGGCCTCGATCCAAGGTGCATTGTACAGCACCATGCAATTGTACATGAACACTACGATAGAGCAAGTATGCTATTGTAGAAGAGCTTGTATCTTGACACCGTCCCTTGGTTTGATTCATTGTTGAATCACACCATCACTACAAACATTGTTGAAACTGTAAAGAAACATTATTGTACATAGCAGTTCAAACATTGTCAGCAAATCTGTACATCTTCCTGCCATTGTGTCTCCAGCATTGTTGCCCTCTTCATCGTTGTGCTCGTATGGCATTGTCATGTCTGGAGGTCCACAGCTTGTTGATCCATTGTCTCAGGTCTCCATCTCGTCCGCCTGATTGTCTGGAGCTTCCGAGGATCGTCTGGGACGTTTTGTCCCCTTTTCTTCCTCTTCATCCTCAGATTTCTCCTGGACAATTGTGCGGTCGCGCTCCTTGATGTAGGAGCTATGCTCTGGGTGGCCTCGCTGGTGCCTCCTGGGGATTGTCACATGGTATGTGTCAATCTTCTTGTCAGCCTTGTATACTCCAAGAGCCAATTCAATACATCTGGCGGGAGTTGTGACTGGCCAAATTGTCCAAGGTGTGCCAGAGCCATCCCGAAGATTGTGTGGTGAGGAGAATCCTCAGAGATGGTCAGCATTGATCGGACATGCATTGTGTGGCCATAGTTCCAGATCCAGCCATTTGCCCAATTGTACTTGTCAAACTTGTTGGCTGCATTGTAGTTCAGGTGGATCGCTCGCAGATGGTTCTTTTCTGCTTCTGTCATTCGATAGTTGTGGGGAGCATGAACTTGTAGCACCTGAACGCTGTATCCTCGCTGGAACGACGACAGCTTCTTTTGTGTCATGTGATGGACCATGTTGTGCCCATCAAAGGCTATTGCCAAAACGATTGTTTCCTCGCTCGTCATTGTGTGCCCCATCGATTGATGGTATGCGAGCCACTGGATTGCTTCCTCGGTTGTGGGAACCATAATGAAATGTTCCCAAATCCCAGGTTTGCGTAGTTTGCCTGGCAGCATGTCGATCTCATTGTTCTCGTTCAACATGATGGCATATTCTGCCATTGTGACAGCCGCAAACCAGTAAGTTGTCCCATTGTCAAGGACCTCGCTCCACGCGCTGTCCTTGTAGTTCGCCGGCTGGAGAACCTGACTTTCAATCCTGTCTTCATTGTAAATTGTTGCCCTGTCTTCCCACAGTGAGATCGTGGAGTTTGTGGGCAACCTGCTCTGATTGTGGTAGTCTGGGGTTGTCATCTTGACAGCCATTGACGCCCTTGAAATTGCTCACCAGGAAGTCGAACCGAATTGTCGGAGCTTGTGAGCTCGAGAAGCGGCTGCGGTCAAGAAGTTGTCGACAAATTGTCAACTGAACATGCATTGTCTTCCAAATTCTAAAAAGCAAAACTTCAAACGCATTGTCCATCGAATTGTACTCCGAAACGACGAAAAGAAAGCCGGGCTCATTGTGAGACTCAAGATCTTGTAGTACATATTGTCTATGACATAGTATGCGCGTAGTAGCTAAAGTCTAAAGTAGTGTGCCATGGCTCGATGCCCCGTGTGTGTATTGTACACGCATTGGTGCTGCCATGGTTGTGAAACTGTTTGTACGGCCGTTGTTCAGTTGTGGTGTTGTGGGCATTGAATGCCCGCCATGTAGAGGTGTTTGTTAAGCACCTCTGCCGAGACATACTTTGTTAGTATGTCTGCTGGGTTGTCGTGTGTGTTTATCTTGTGTATTCACAGTACCCCGCTTTGTACCAGTTGTTGTATGAAGAGGTACTTCAGGTCAATGTGCTTTGCTTTCTTTGACGAGGCAATTCTCGCTGCAATGCTTTTGCCGCTTGTGCTGTCTGTGTGTGTGTGTGCGTATGTTCACCTTTGTTGTTGTGGCTTCCTTGATGAAGTTTGCTATATGTAGTCCTTCTTGTGCTCCTGTGCCAATTGCATATAGCTCTGACTCTGCTGATGATAATGCTACTACTGAGTTACTACTGCTTGTGTTCTGCTTCCAAATTGTACCACGGATCCCATCATTGTCACGATGAATCCACTTGTTGATTTTCTTGTGCTTGGGCATCCTGCCCAGTCTGCGTCGACGTAAATGTTGAGGTCGACGGGTTCTTTTGTTTGTGGCGTGTGTGTTGTCCTCAGGATCATCTTGTAGTGTTGTGTTCCCCTGAGGTATCGTAACAGGTGTTTCACCTTGCGTAGGCTTTGTTGTGTTGGTTGTTGTAGGTCTCGTGCCAGTTCTTTTGTTGCAAAGCTGATGTCTGGTCTTGTGTAGGTCAGCCATTGAAGCTTTCCTACTGCTCTCCTGTAATCTGCATGTTCTTGTGCATCTAGAGGTGCATCATCGTTTGTGGATTGTTTCAGGGTTGCCGTCCCTGGAGCTGATGCTGGATTGCTTGCTTCCATTTTTGTTTCCTTCAGCAATGTGGTGACGTATTCAGGTTTGAGGCTCACTTCAAAATAGTCTCCATTGTTGTGGATGTCTCTGCTAAGGAATTGGATTGTCTGACCAATTCCCAATGTGCCGGTTGGTCGTAGTAGTACATGCTTTTGTACTTCTTTGAAAGTCTTGTCGACTTCTTGTTGTTGTCCCAGGAATAGTAGGTCATCCACATAGACCATCACAAACATTGTCTGTTAATTGTTTCTGTACACGTTGGGTTCGCTTGTCAGTCGAGATAGTCCCATTTGTTGAAGGACTTGCGCAAAGTGACCCTGCCAGGATTTTGGACTTGATCGTAGTCCATAGATTGCTTTGTTGAGCTTCCACACTGTGGTTGTGTTGTGACCACTTGGGTATAGTTCTGGTGGTGGCCACGTGTAAAGATTGTCTGTTGCTGCTGGCGCATGTAGGAATGCTGTTGACACATCTCCTGCTTGTATTGTCCAGTGGTTGTGCTGCGCCATTGTCAGTAGGATACGTAAGATCCCAAAGATTGGTGTGCTGGCATAGATGTTGTCAAGGTCTTGGATTGTTTCCAAGTCGCCTTTTGCTACTATGCGACATCGCGCTTCATCTTGTTTGGGTTTGCTAACCCACTTGGATTCTACGATCCTGTTCTTGTGTTCTTCAGGAACATCATTGTAGTTCATCTCTGTGAACACTCCTTGCTTCTTTTTTCATTCCTTGTTGTACTTTCAATGGATCAAGACCTTCATTGTCGTAGACGAAGGGTTCTTGTAGCATCCTTTCCACTTCTGCTTCTTGTTCATCTTCACAGGATGCTGTGGTGATCTTGTCACCTTTCTTTGTGATGATTATCACTGCTTGTATTCTCATCTTTGCTTTTAGTTGTTCTTCATCTTGTCCTTGGTTTGCTGCCGTTGAGGACTGTGCTGTCCTTGATTGTTTGGATTGTGCGTCACCTGTAGGCTCCTCGTGTTGTCGCTTGCTTGCTGGTGGTGTTGGCAGTGGTGGTCTTGCCACTGTTGTTGGTGAAGTTGCCAATGGTGATGTTGCCATTGTCGTATCCCTGATGCATTGCTCGTGCTGGTAGTGCCAGTGGTGTCTCTAGTACTGTCTGTGTGCTTGTATCTTCGACTGTAATGTCAGCTTGTGTGTTGTCAGCCGGTAGAAGCAATTGTGGTGGAATTGCCATTGGTGTTGTTGGCAATGTGGCAAGTTCCATGGATACACGTTGATAGTATCCAATAGTTGTTTGTCGTACTTGTCTGGCACGATCTGTCTTCGTATTGTTCTTGCTCTGATGACCTTGCCAGGGATGCCAACTATTGACTCTCCAGTCATTGTGTTTCTGCCAAGCCAGATTCCTGTGAAGAATCTTGGCTCCATCTTGGGTTGCGCTTTTGTTGTTGGTATCATGTATTGTACTGTTTCTGCCATCTCGCATAGTGGTGCTTTGTGGTCCTTCTGCCATCGTCTTCGGTAACTTGTTTTTCCGTCGTTGTGCATGGCATACCTGTTCAATAGCCAGGCCGCATGCCGTACGATCCACGGCATGATCGGATGTTGTACGCTCAATGTAAGGTTGTAGCTTGTGGTCACTTTGTTGTACCAGTGCGCGGACTTGTCCCATCAAAGTGCGATGGAATCGTTCAATGCGTCCTTGTGATTGTGATGAGTATGCCGGTGATTGTCGGATGTTGACGTTGTTTCCGAGCTTCTGTACGACGGCCTTCAGTAAGTTCTGTATGTATTCTTCTTGGTCTGATTGTAGTGTCGTGGTAGATAGTGTTGCTTGTGCTCGTCCACATTCAAACATGAATGTTTGTAGACATCGTATCAGGTATTGTTGTTGTTGGTTCTTGTCTTGTACAAGAACGGCCATTGCCATACCTGATTCGACATCTATTGCCGTCAGTACTGGTAGTACTTGTTTGTCTCCAAATGCTTTCATGTATGTGAAGTCCACTTGTATCACTGGTTGTTGCTTGCTTGTTTTGGGTGATTGTCTGTTCTTCCTTTGCTCTTGACACATATTGGGCACCATGAGCGGTGTGGTAAATGTGTCAGCTCATGTTCTAGCCTTTCTTGTCTTGTTGGCTGTTGTGGCGCCTTTATCCCTTTCGCGCGTTGTGCTTGTTGAGATTCATCTTCATTGTCCGTGTCGTACTCGTACTTGTACGTCGCTTCTTCCTCGAAGTTTGTTGATCCTGTCCATTGTCTGTCAAGCTGTCTTGCTCCTGATTCGTGCCAATTGTCATGGATTGTGTATCCTCTTCCTTGTTCCGTTCTGGTCACGAATGTTGTCCGTGTAGGTTTGAGTCGTCCAATGTCTGGACCATCGTCTGTCTTTTGTGGCGCGTACATTGTCGTCCGTACTTGTACGTGAACTCGTTTCCAATAGTCTGTTGTTGGTGTCATTGTGGATGGATCAGGTACTGCCGTGGTTGTTGGTGCTGGCTTCTTCGTTGTGTGTCTGTATAGTGGCTCTCTGCTTGCCTGTTGCGTTGTCTCGTCTCTTTCCGGGAGTCGCAGTGTTGTGGATTGGTGTCGCGCCTGTATTGCTTGTGGTGCTATCTCTGTCTGCTCTGTTGCCTTCGCTGTTGTGGGTGCCGGTTGTGATGGCGGCTTGTTCACTCTGAACCATGTTTCTCCTGTCCATGTGTCTCCTTGTATCACTCGTTGTTGTTCATGTTTGCTCATGTCATGGTATTGTTCAACAATGTCTTCGTTGTTCCCGTCTGTTCGACGAATGATTGTTCGTCTGTAGTTGCTCAATGTCTCCAGTGGTACTGGGCAAATTGTCGCCAGGAACACAGAGAACTTTCCTCTTGTTCCGATGATACCGTACAAGGTATCCTTCCTTCATTGTTGTAGTTCCAGTAGTCGCTGTTGCCTCCAAGGGCTTGTTGTGGTCCATGCTTTGTCAGTGTTGTTGGGGCAATCATTGCAATCATGCCCTTTTGTGTATGTCTCAGCTGTAGTTGTTGATGTTGTGTCAGGTTCCTGATTGTTGCTGGCAAGTAGTAGAGGTTGTGCTGCTGCACCAAGGGAACATTGAATCCCTTATCATGGCGCATTGTTGGAGTGTCGTTGAACCTGATGTCAAAGCCTTGTTCTGCCAGTCTTGTCACTGACTGGGTTGGGTCATGGATGTCACTCACACACGTAGAAGGGTATGACAATTGGTTGTCCTCTTGATTGCATGTAGACCCATCTTACTCCATAGCATTGTATTGTCTTGTTCGTCACTGTCCTGAGGTTTGGGCTTTGTGCTTGGTCAATCTTGTACACTGGATAGTTGCCTGCAAACCATAGTGGGCAGACATGTGTGGCTGCTTCACTGTCGATCATGATGTGTATAGTCTCTGTTGTGCTGCTGCTTGTGGTGCCTGTATTGTGGTCATTGCCATTGCTGATCATGGCGACGACATGGATTGGTGTCATATCGTGGTTGCCAGCGGATGGAATTGGTGGGAGTGCCAATGGTTGTTGTCCTTGTTGTTGTCGTGTGTAGTCCTGAAAGTGCCATCCATTGTCATAGTAGTCATCGTACCATTGTGCTGTCGTGTCCTCAACGTCATTGCTTTGTCCTTGTCCAATGTTGTGTATTGCCACTCGGCAGTCTTTGGCATAGTGTCCTGTTCTTCCACATCTGTAGCATGTATCTGTTGCTTGCTTTCCTTTGTTCTTTCCTTTTCCTTTGTTGTATCCTTTGCTGAATCCTTTGCCTCCTTTGTTTCCTCTTCCGAATGGATTGCCGAAGCCAATCGAACTACGTTGTAGCTATTGAATCCTTTTCCTCCATACTTTCCTTTTCCTTTGTGGTTGATGTTGTAGCTGTTGTAGCCGTAGCCGTTGTATCCTCCGTAGCCTTTGCCTTTGTTCTTTCCTCTTCCTTTTCCTTTTCCTTTGTAACTGTTGTACTTTCCTTTTCCTTTATGGATTGCATCAATGTCCATAGGTGCTTGTCCTCCACCAAAGCTTGTCGCTACACTGGATGATTGTGATCGTAGTTGTTGTAGTTTGCTGAATGCTGTTGTTGATCTGTAGTACGCGATGATTGTTTGTTTGACTCGTGCATAGTTTGGGCTTTGTCCTGAAAGCAGTTGTAGGTGTTGTTGTAGCGGTCCACTTGTCTCGTTGAGCAATACGGCAATCTTCACGGAGTCTGGGAGTGTTTGTCCATTGTCTCGCTCGAATGATTGTAGCTCAAATTCCCATGTGGAAAATGATTCTTCGAAGTTGTTCTTGTCAAATGTTGGTTTCAACAATCTTGTCAAGTGTCCTATGGATCTTGTCCCCACTGGGATGGAGAAGCGGATGCACAATTGTCGGTACATCTCGAAGCCAATTGTGTGTTGGTATTGTCTGCAGACTGTAGCTGCTGCTCCTGTTGTTGTGTTGATGAGGATGTACCTGAAATCAGTGCTGAGGCGAACATGTCGTTCACCGTCTTCGATTGTTGATGCCGCTGCTCGTAGTTGTAGCTCTGTGAGTTCTGCTGTGCCTAGTTCTGCTGCTTGTAGTAGTTCTGTGTAATCCTTGTCTTGCAATCCCATGTATGCTGTGAACTTGTATTTCCATTCTTCGAACGTGCGAGGCCGGCTACTATGAAGATGATGAACAGGTAGCCTGAACACATGGCTGAGGAGTTCGACGCAGCGTGCCAGACCCAATGAGTTGAAGATGGCTCGAGGTTTTCTACCAGTTGTGGCCTTGGCGGACAACCAGCAACCTGTCATGGCCGGTGCATCTTCATCCACATCGAGCCCAACGTCTTGGCAGAGGAAAGGAAAAGGGAAAGGCGCCAAGTCAAAAGGGAAGGCATCGACAACAGTGCGCTATCCACCGCAAGGCGCAGGAAAGAGTGATCCGAAGGGCCGTGCAAAGGCCAACGTGACATGCCTCCGATGTGGACAACAAGGCCACTGGGCTGCCAACTGTCCACAGAGCTCGACTTCTAAGGGCTCGAGCCTGAAACGTCCTGCGCCGACTGAAGGCATGGCTCAACTCCATGAAGAGGAGTGCGGCGCGCTCATCTTTGAGGATCACAACGGCCACCAGAGGCCGGACTGTGTCATGCTCGACCCTGGAGCCAGCGCATTCTTGGCAGGTTATGGTCCTTTTCGACGCTTCCTGCAACAATTGACAGATGATTGCCACTTCCCGATTGAGAAGATCAAGATGACTCGTGGCAGACGCCGCTTCCAGTTTGGTGGAGATGCAGCGTCCTGGTCGACCTGGAGCGCCCACTTGCCCATCTTCTTGGATGGACGCTATGACGCTATGGGACCGATCAGCTGTTCCTGCTACCTGGACACACTCCAATGCTGTGCGGCCGACCCATCATAAAGGCAATGGGCATGACCATGGACTTTGCCACGCGCTACGACCCGGATCGCCCTGCGTTTTGTCTCAAGACCGCGGAAGCTGATCTGGATCAGGAAGAAGACATTCCCCTTGCTGAGTTTGAGAAGGAGGAGAGTTGTTTTTGTCTCAGCGCTTCCGAGGAGCTCATTGACCGCATCAACACAAAAGCTCTCCGTCGCCATGACAAGACCATGGACGTCCACTTGAACACACACCTCAATGAGCTGTCTGCCTATGTCACCAAACAGCTACACCCTCAAGAATCTCGACGGAAGCTCTGGGAAGTCTATTGTGGAGCCTCACGCACTTCACAGGTGGCGGAAACTCTTGGAATGGAGGTGCGGAGATTCTCCTATGGGACCGGTTGGGACTTCAAAAACTTGGCCCAACAAGAAGCCTCATGCTCAGTGCGAAAGCCCCATATGGCTTCAAAGACCGGAACCTGCTGGCATGATCAGGCTGCCAATCGGTAGACCAGATCTCGGATCGCAATCACTTGATCCTGCGCCGCTGTTCGTTTACTTTGGCAACCAGGTACTAGGAGGAAGTTTGCGGCAAGACTTGACCGCTTGGCGTGACGCCTTTGAGACCCTCCAGCACTGACACCACCGCCGGTGTCGATTGCACGCTGCGCAATAGGTTCTTGACCTGTCAGGTCCCGTTCACTCAGGATTCCCATCCGCAGGGTGGGCTTATGCAGCTGAAAAGCGCGCGCGGGCGCGGACACTCCGGTGTCCACTCAATTCGCTTCGTGTGGTTCGTACTCGTACTTCTCCACACTACAACACGGTGTTCTTCGGCAACATCCGCTGTTTCCACACAACCAAATTCTCTCGCATTGCCGCCACTGCACCTTGAATTGTGACTGCTCCTGCCACGCTGGCTCTAACAGCTGCTCGTGGGCCAGCAAAGCTGCGAATGTTCACCTGCTTGTTGAGACACCAAAAGCGTTCAAGTTACGGAGCCTGGTATGGTTTGGTGGTCCACTGCAGGCTGCAGGTATCACGACGCACAAGGGGCACAGGTATACTAAGTCCTGAGGTGCCATGTGACAAGTTGAGACTTAATTGGAGCTTGGATGATTTTTGCACTCCAATTAAGTCTCCGATTGAGGTTTAGGCTCTTTTGAGTCCGGTTCGAGGAGAGTGAATTGCGTTTGGGCGACATGGAAACCTTGGACTCAGCAAGAGGCCAAGTTGGTGACTGCTTTGAAGATGAGCAAACTGCGCCGAAGCGACTGTACGAAGACTTGACTTGGCATTTTTCATGTTCTTGAGTGTCCACATGGACCCCAGAAAATCCTGATCAGTTGGAGCTTGAAAACGACTGAGGTGTAGCAAGGCTTGTGCCACGGGCAAGACAACCAGAGTCCGCCCATTTGCCAGAGCGGCCGCCCACGAGGGCTGCGCCTGCACTGGGCCCAGCAAGGCCACTGGGCAACGCGAGGTGATGCCAGCTGCTTCATTGTGTGAAGACAAGGTGATGCAGCCAGAAAAGAACCAAGAAACATGAACACTACGACATGTAACCAGCTATGGGTCTTGCCATATGTGGCCATTGTCCACGTGTGAAATTTTTACCCTTGTTTTGGGGTCCTTTGCGATGATTCTCTTTCCAGGAGGAGAAAACTTGCAATACTCATGCTTGTCCCATCAACTGCGCGTGGGGCAAATGGAACGCCTGGCAAAAGCTCCTCGGACCACGGTGACGGTGATGGTGGTGACGGTGACGGCGGTGACGCGATTGGATCTGAGGGCGGACGGTGCGAACGGTCGTTGCATCCGGATGCGCGGGGAGACATTGGACACATTGTCGTCACAAAGAGATCCACGTTAGAATTCGCATGGTCACTCTGGGACCTGGAGTGTTTTTGTATTAGAACATTTTCTTTCTAGACCGTTCGGCGTATATGTCGATGGTCGGTAGAACCTCTACCGTCTCACTCTTCCCTCGCCACCCCAAAACAGCCCAGACATCCTTTCCGCACCGGGGACGCCTTGCGCACCGGCCCCGAGGTGCTCCAAGCCCTGCGGCGGTGGGGAGCAGAAGCGGAACCGGCCCGTGGCCAAAGCGGCTGCCCACGGCGGAAAGAAGTGCGACGGCGCAGCAGAGGAGGGGGATATATAAGACACGAATGATGACAAGGGTTCGGAACAGTGGTGCAAGGGGGGCTGTGATGATGATGATGATGATGATGATCATGGCGGCGTGAGGCTGTGGGCAGTTTGGAACATGTTTGGGCTCTAGCAAAGAAGTGCGCTGCGGAAGTATGGTGAATTTGTTTCTTTACTCCGCGGGAGTGAACGTTGATGACATTTGGAATGCTTTACTGTTTGAAGAGTGAGTGTTTGACGTAGATCAGGGATGCTCAGTGGGTTGACCACGGCTCTTTTCGCCAAGAATTGCAACACCCAAACCAAACGAACGCTAGAAGTGGCTTGAAGTGGCTTGGCATTTGAAGGAGAAGAAAAAGTGCAACGAACACAAGTGCCCCATTGATTGCGTGTACGGCGAGTGGGGCGAGTGGGCTGACTGCAGCGTCACTTGTGGCACCTTGGATGATGCCTTTCACCATCGCAGTGGAGATCAGACAACACACTGCGATCTGCTAGAAAACACGCAGTGGAGATCAAGACATTGTGATTCTCCCCAGAGTCTTTGTTTTTCTCCGGTTGATGGATTTACACCGCTTACACCGCCGTTTTTTGACACAGAGATGTGACCGAGGCAATGGGACCCGTAAGCACACCAGAGAGGTGGAGACGGAAGCGCAACATGGAGGCGCCACCTTTCGACGCCCAACTGGCCCTTCCACCCTTGACTTGTTTCGGGCCGTTTTGCAATTTAGAGGTTTTTCGAGAAAAGGTATCTTCTTTTTTTGATGTGTCATCGGTTTTTCTGGCAGGTAAAGAGTGCGAGGGAGAAGCTGAAGAAGAAGGGCCATGTGTCTTAGCGAAATGCATCGGGGCCATGCGTACTTTCGGACTGACTTGTCAAGACTGTGCCGCATGGTGCTATGCTCCATCGGACGTGGAAGATGGCCAGCTTGAACATGCTGTTCATGTAACTTCCGAGATATGACTTGGGGGCGATCGGCTGAGTACAGGCTTGTTTGGCCCAGTACTCGTAGCAAGGGGACGCTACTAGGTGGAGGTCATCGCTAGTAGGTTGGAGGCCATCACTACGAGTAAGAAGAAGCTGCGAGGGTGGCCCTGAGCTTGAGATGCAGTGGTCGACACACGGTTTCCGACCTAGTTGGGTGCAGATCTCCGACCTCCAACCGAAGAAAGACGCGGTCTCCGATGTGGTTTCTTCGTGCTCCAACTGGATCGTACGTCCCATGTGGCGCCATGTGTTTCCACTAGTTTCCACACACGTTTGGACCCCCCTGGCACGCCGTCCGCGCGCCGTCCGCGCGGCCGCCACTGTCGCGGCCACCACTCCTCGGTCCTCTGCGCCAGGTGATCCGGTGCCTGAGAAGTGCGGGGCACTCGGGTCGCAGGTGGGACCCACGCGGGACGTGTTGGTTGGGGGCAGAACACGGTATGAAACATGCACATGGACCACCTCACGCGGGGGCTCTGAATCAAGAATCACATGGTTCCCGACATTTGCTGACCGAAGCTCTTGAAAAGCCCTTCCGTTCGGCGGCAGGCCTTCAGCGTTTTGCTCTTGGCAGCCATTGCAATATATTTCTGAAGGCCCGCGTTTCTAGTGTTCCTAGAAAGAGAGAGCTTCGTTGAACTGGAGTTTGCAAAGCCTTCGGAGCACGGAGCAGAAACAAACATTTCCTGGGACATGGTCGGACAGGGTGTCAAGATGACTGGGTTTTGTCTCAGCACATCTAGGGAGTTAGAGAACAAACAGGAAAAGTAACATACAAGGTGTACAAGCTGCCTGGTAAGCTTGTCGGCACCTAAGTCTGAATCCGGATGGAACACCTGAGATTCGTTCCATGGCAGAAGGCTTGCAAGCTCATGAGACCCAAACACGTCTCGTCTGTCTACCTCAGTTGCATGCAGCCATCCAAGAAGAACTGGAAGCACGACCAATGGAAACTGATGGACACTGGCTATTGGCCTGCCAAGTCTGTGTGTTTTTGTGCTGCATGCATCTTTTCCGCTGGGGATGGCAGTGGCGGCTCCGATTTCAATTGGAATGAGGTGTTCGAGATAATGTCTTATCGACGTCGGAAGGTTGGGCTTTGCTTCAGTGGGGTGGGCTGCTTGTTTCCCATGGCCGGCCTCCTTCATCCCCCTTCCTCCCCTGTCGTTGACATGAAAAACACGGACTTAGCTGAAAAGCAACAGCTGAGGTATGACGGCAGATCTCATGACTCACGACCTGCATGTGGTGTGTTTAGCTTTACAAACGCCAACCTTTCGACAGTCCCCGCGGACGCTGTGGCCCCGAAGAGATCACCTGACCATGCCTGGCGATTGCACTGACGATGCCTGGCCGCGGTTCCAAAATTCCAAGGCCTAAGCTTGGAAGGTTTTGTTTGAAAAAGGCCGTGCAGTGGATGGCTGTCCTCGAATTTAGCATTCTTTGCACATCCTTCCACAGGATGAAAGACGCTTTGTAGTTCACGCAGAGAAGTGCTCCGTTCTTTGATCCGTTTTGTTATGCTTTGAGAGGGATTTCATGCTGTACTCGCAGGATTGCAAATAGATCATTGAGACGACTAGACAATGGTGAGTTGGAAGGACGGTGCTTGCATCTGGCAACTTTCGAGAATGGAAGACAGTCAGCTAGAAGGCCCTGGAGGCTGCTGTAAGAGCACGGGTATGAAGAGCTGTTTGCTGTGCTCAAACTCAAGAAATGGAGTAGCAGAGATGGTAACATACCCACATACATATTATTACACATTTACTGCTGTGATATATGTTTAACGTTTTTCGTGCAGACCTTGTGCAGACCCTCCGGCTTTAAAAACTCTTGAGAAACATATCTCCTGCAGAACATTAGTCTCCAACAGGGAGCTGGCAGGGACCAAAAACACCCTTTGAGTTGCGACGACCAGGATGCCACTGATGCCTAGCATATTGGACCGTACATTGTAAAAAATGCATATCTCTTACATGCCGTGATTTCTGCCATGGGGGGACAACTGAGCGTTCAAAACTGCTGCGCCCCTCGGCCCAACTGCTGCGTCTCCATGACGCGCCGCGCGCCTCCGCCGGGGGGGGTCCGGCCGACACGTCGCCGCCCCGGGTGAAGCGTCTGTGGTGGTCGAATTGATTGCGAAACGTTGGATTCACACGGTTTTTGTTGCGAAGGGTCAGCTGAAAGACGACTTGGCCTGCGAAACTGGAGCAGACCCTGGAACCAGACCTTTGCACACCTTTTGCTACGTGCTCCTGGCTGTGATATGACTTCTTGTGCTTCTTCTAATTGGTGACTGCAGATTTAGGCTTGGGGGTGGAAAAAGAACAGGGGGGAACCTTTTAGGAGCACATGAGAATGGAATGTACCTGATGTGATTGCCAGACAAGTTCTGACACACTGAAAGAACGGTCGCAATGGCAAGACCCCGAAAGCACCAAGATGCTTCCATCGAGTCTGGAGGAAGCTCTGAAACACTACAGCATACTACAACCACTCTCACAAAATACAATGTGGCTGTGGGTCTAAACCAAACAGGCACCAAGCAGGACCCTTTGGTTGGTGAGAATTACTTGGACTCAGACTCACTGATCTTGGCTTGGAAGTCTTTGCTTTGGACCCCACGCGGGGCCCACCCGTTTGAGCCGGGGGGCGAGGTGTTTCGGGCCCCTGAAACGGGGCATAAGGCTCCAGATCGGGAGACCTTCTACCAGAGCTTCGCATTCCTCTGGACCTTTGTTCTACGGTTGCAAATGATGCTTGTTTGAGTTTCGGCTAGAAGCTTTGGTGGTCAAGTGACAGGGAATTCTGGTACCCGATGGCCAGTGGTGTGACGTTTTAAACACATGGTTCGTTTTTATCCGTTGGGCTTGGATGGTGGCACCGGGTTGCCACGTGCGTTTGCCGGTGCCAAAACACTGGGTCTTCCAGACGGTGGCACCGTGGATGTTCCGAGTTTGACCGCGGCACCTGTTCCCAGTAGCGTGGCACTTGTTACTAGTAGCTTCTTGTTACTACTAGCTTCTTCTTACTACTAGTAAGGCACCTGTTACTACTAGTAAGGCACCTGTTACT